AAGGGCATGAGTGACCGTTCGAAGGGCATCCCGATTCAGGAAAGGGCATAACTGGCGCACCACCCGGAGCTGTGCAAAAGCCGTCCTGGGTTGAAGTTGTTGTCATTATTCATAGTACTATTAGTTAAAGTAGTATTTATTAAATTATTTCATTTGGGAGTCAATGAACAATCTGAAACTTCATGAAGTGGTCAATGAGCTGAAGAGTTTGGGGACCTCTATTCTTCACCTTTCAAACACCCCACTGACAGGTCAACTGCGAAGAAATTAAAAAAATATTGCTACTATTATTCTTAGAGGGCTATCACTCTTCTGGGAGATTAATAATTTTTTTCCAGAAATATTAATATTTCTGGGGAAAAATGGGGCTTGAGAGCCATGGACTTCCTCACACTTAGAAATACCTTCCTTCCTTCCTTCCTTCCTTCCTTCCTTCCTTCCTTCCTTCCTTCCTTCCTTCCTTAGGTTTTGCATAAGAATATCCATCTCATGACATTCCTACGAGTTTAAAAATATGACTGGAGATCAATAGACGATACCAAATAAATCTTTAACTTTTAATTAAAATGCTAAAATTCAGTATTGGAAGAAAACTATCATGAGGGAGCAGGACGAGAAACATCTTGCAGGAGTTCTCCAATATCTCCTTCCTCTTCCCCATCAACAGCAGTTCAATTGAGCAAAAGTCCTGGCCAGTGTGGAGAACCATTTAAACCTCAGGTACGACAATCTATCAGGAGATTGATAGACTACAATTAAAATATAATAAGGCTTAAGGCTGAGATGGGAAAGGGGGAATCTTTGTTCAAGTCCCCTCAATCATAGAGTTCACTGACTTCCTGGGATGTTGATTTGTGAAAGAAATAGGGGGAACTTCCAAAGGGAAGAAAGGATATAAATGCAAAAAATGCATCAAACAATACCCAGGTAGATGTCCATGCGGCAATTCAAGCTACTCATTTTGCAATCCTCTTCTACTACTCGGACTCAAAGGTCTCGCCAAGGTTCTTTGGCCAAAGCGCTAGGACATCCTGGACAAGAAAATGCTCTCATGTCTCCTTCTGTGCTACCTTATGGCTTCTCCTCTTGGCAAACACTTGTCCTCAGTTTACATGGCAAAGCTTTTGAGAATAATCCTGAATTGGGAAATTTTGTAGCATACCTTGTGTGCATTTCAGCAGTTATAGATATCTTAATTCCAATTTAAAGAAAGCACAGCTGGGACCCCAAGAAAAGAAAAAATACAGAGAAAACAAGGTCGGCCCAAGGTAATCTGCTGCCAGAACCCTGGGATGGCATGGATCCTCCTACCGTATCCAATATACCAGGGCTGCATTCTCTGTGCATCAACTCTTGCCCTTCTGCATCCCACCTGACGACATCCTCTTCACTTGACTAAACCGTGCCAGTCCTGCTGGGAATGACACGAAAGAGATAGCTGCGGCTGCCTGGACTTAGCACACGGGAGGGAGTGGAGTCTCCTACCTGAGTAGCCACCCACAGCTAGGAAGGGGAACACAGGGGCTCCGTAGTCTGCCATACAGCTCAGCTTCAGTTCTGTGATATCTTGGAAAGAGGTTGGAGAGCTACCGGGGCAAAGAAGAGAAACAAATGGAACATGGAGGTGTGGTGGGAGAAGGAGAGACCTTTCCTCTGCAGTTGCTGGAGAAAGAACAGCCTTTACAGAGAGAGAAACATCCACAACACAGGAGGCTGCCATTAACCAAGACAAACAAGGAACTTACCATACCTGCAAGGACTGCAGTGACTCTCTGCAGGCTTCAGACAAGGGACTGGAGAGGAGGGAGAAGAGGCAGGGCCTGCCAGTGTTTGCACTTTTTTGCCAGGCTCCCCATATTTGTCAGTTGCAAAGCCTCTTCCCCCTGAAAAAAAGTGGGGGCACCAGCCCATCAGCTTCAGCCCACCCGATCTCCAGGACCCAGCTGCTACACACTGAAGGTGGGCCACTCATCTTTCTTCACTTCAGCTTATTTTAGCTTGGGAGGTGCCAAAGCTCCTAAAAGCCCAGCCCACCCCCTTTCCGATGTGGTGGCTGGAGTGATGGAGGTCACCCCGTGGGCAGGCAATGGGCAACCTGTGGAAGGGAACTTCCTGGCTTATCCAGATGAAAAGGTGAAACAAATCCATCACCCCTCTTAAATAGAAGGAGGCTTCCTAAACGCACACTCACTTGATGCAGTAAAGAAAATGGTCTCTCCAGTCTACTGTGCCAGTCTTCCCATCCACGGTCTGGTTGGCTGTCAACAAAAAGGCAGTACGATTGTTCTGGAAGAACTGCAACAGACTGTTAACACAACAGTCAGAGAGGCTGGCATTCTGGGGATTCAGAGGTGCATAGCAAATATCTTTCAAGGTGATGTTCCTATGATGCTTTTCAGACCAGATCTCCATGTCTCGCAGCTTTACCTGCAGGCTCATCAGGTCCAAAAGCACCTTTTCAGAGAGGACCCCACTAAAGTTCTTCTTGCCCCAAAAAAGAGAATCATAAATGTGGCTTGAATGGTTCTTGGCTGTCAGGATGACTTGGCTGGTCCTGAAGAAGCGCCCAAAGTTCTCCTCATAGAGTGCTTTCTCCTGCCGGGCCTGACTGTCAGGAGAGGACCAGAGCTCCAAAGGGTCTGTGGTTAGCTGCATCCAGATCAGTCCACTGGAGAGTCCCACCACAATTGCTAGTGAAATGATAATGACTGTGATGGGATTAGAGGCCACCAATATGCCCCAGCTGCTGAAGGCCCTAATGAAGAAACCATACATGGCCTGACTCACCTTCTCAGAGCCAGTCAACTTAGTTGCTGCATCCTTTGCGCTGTGATCCTTTTGCTTCTTAGATGAGAAGTATCTTCGCCACAATAGGAAGGATATAAATGATAGTGTGAGGATAGAAAAGAGAAGGATACAGATAAACAGGACTCCATCCATGTTCCCCACTTTGAAGGGCTGAGATTCAGAGGGAAGAGGCTGGATGGCAGGACAAGACTGTTCACAGTCCGAGCAGGAGCACTTTGTCCCATTGTTTACAGCCTCACTACACTTCCAGGGTGTCCCATTGAGTGGCAAAATGTCTCCCTCCTCAGCAGCCCAGTCCCCCGGTTTGAGTTGGAAGGAGATGGCCAAGGGGGCCATCCCATTTCTTGGATCTCCTTGGAAATCTAGCCATCGCTGGGTGTTGCACGCAGCTTCCCCGTACTTGCCGCACATGGTACTTATGACTGAATTTCCAGTGGCTGGCAGCCTGACCCCCTTGCACGATTGATAGGTTTCCTCAGCAAAGTGCTGGTTGTAGTAACACTGAAACTCCAGCACGCCCACCTGTAGGCCTCCCACAATGGTGCGATTGAAGTACCGGGTCACGTTGGTAAAGAGGCTCTGGTCTGGGCTGCAGATGGTCTGACAGTGGATGTTGGCAAAGTTCTCCATGCAGGCTGGGCAGCGAGACAGCAGGGCCCGGGACAGTGAGAAGCTGCTCTCCAAAAACTCTAGCTGCTTCTCCGAGCAGCAGATGTGGGTGTTGCTGGCTCCCTTGAACAGCATTGGGCAGATGGTCTTGAGGAGGATGAGGTGGGAGCCATGGGCTAGCCGGGCTGGGGTGTTGGAAAGGCAAGGCGTAGTGATTCCAGAACCATTAACTTCAGGATTCTGATCACAGCTGCCATAGAAGGAACAGTATCCCGCACGATGGATTTCGGTCAAAGCAGCAGCCTAAGAAGCAGAGAGAGGCGGGAATAGCTCGTTAATCACCATGGCTGTTGAGGGGGGTCCATCTACACCTGTGGAAGTAGTTCCTCTTCCCCAGAGGTTATAGGAACTCAAGACAGGATGTTCCTGATTTGGGATCAGAAGAAGAACCTTTTCCCGTTATTACTTTATTACTATATGGCTCCTTCATCTTCAGAAGTTCAAAAATTGAAGAATGGAGGGCTCTTACAACTTTTGATAATCCCTGGAATCAGGGGTTGCTGCCTTTCATTCCCCCCCTCCCCAGACCCTCAAAGTCTCCACAGCCAACCACTTCACCTTCTCCTGCCCACTGCTAAGGAAGAAGCAGAAAATGGAGCACTTTCCGCACTGCGTTAGAAGATAAGGGACGGGCAACCTGCAGCCAGGATCGGATGCAGCCCCCCAAATCCCCTTTTTGTTGTCCTTGGAACCACCTCAAAATATGACAACTAAAAACGGATGGTCCCATTTCCCAGCATTTTGAGGTGGAAATATATGAAAACTGTGGGGTTAGCCTTAAATAGAAATGCAACAGTTGAAAAACGCAATCCCCTAAATTTACCACCGAACTAGCCCTACCCACATGTATTATATGCCACCCCCTATGAAGTGTAACCCGTGGCCAGCTATACTTTGCCTTCTCCTATTCTAAAGGAAAAGCAGAGAGTGGCCACTTACCCCAGTTAGATAATATCAGTAGCATGATCAGGTTATCACATACTCCCGCTCAGTGTGCCAGCCAGCCATGCCCTTTTTCACAAGATGCTGCTCATCTTCTGTGTCTGAAAATGTTCCTTGTTCTCAAAAATGGGCAGAAGCATGCCAGCCTTCGCTTCTTCCTCCCAGAATGCCTGTCCCCAGTAACAGCCATTGGTTCCTAAGACTTACAACCTGCCGGCTTCTTGAGACTAACCCTAAAAGGCTCATAAGTTGAACACCGTATTTACATCTGGACAATCTGAGGCATCTCCTCATGAATGATGCTAAAGGATATTAACCTAAAGGTTTCTTCATGTGCAAATCTCCAGTTGCCCAAAACTACTGATTTATCTTTTTAGGGAAGCCATAAGGAGGAATCACTACTTTGCAGCTAAACTGACCCTGCCTTCAAAGGACTGAGAGAGATCTCAGAAGAAGCCGAGTCCCTTACAGGTGGGGACGCCAGGTCCCTCCGAAGCACACCTTGCCGCTGAATCCCTCCAACCCACGTCATCACTGCTCACTGACCTCGCTCGTCAGGTCCATTCTGGCTCGGAGCACCACTAAGGCAAACAGGGCCCACCTCAGCATCCTGGCAGGCCTGGACTACAGGCAGTCTTGCTCCTCAGAGAAAAGGGAGCGCCAAGGTGCATGTTCACTCTTTGTCCACTTTCCAGATGTCATGCACCAATCAGGCTGCACCAGGGCTATATCCCAGTTTATCATTAACTTGGAGATAGCACTGGAGTTCTCTTAGGTTAGTCACCACCAACTTGCCCTCCTTCCCCAGGCTTATTTGGGATCTTGGCTTTGACAGGGGCCCAGCTGTGAAAATGAGGACCACTTTAGCAGCAAGCATTGCTCTGACCAAGAGAAGGGATCCATTGGGACGGTTGTCTTAATGCTGCTGGCCAGATACCTTGGAGCTTGTAATCCTACACCCAGTCTTCCTCATATACTGGGCTCACCCTATTATGTTATAACACGGAGGACTGAGACTGTCCCATTATTAATCTTTCCATAGGAGCCTTTTTGGCCTGATGAATATAATTTAAGCAAAAATTATTCAGATTCATTCTCAAGACATCCTGTGTTGGAAAGGACCACAAAGTTCTTCTGGGTCTCCCAGAGAGTTCCTGCCACAATAGAGCCCACTAGTGTGGGCAGCCATAATAATTAAAAAAAAAAAAAAGCTCATCTGTGCATCTGCAGTCTTACATGTTCAGTCATTGTCTTCTGTGCTGTTTCCTCCTAGAGTTCTGGCCAATAAGTGAGCGGAAACTTGCAACTACCTGTGGAAGAAAAACAGCAGTAGCCTATGCAAAAAGGATCTGGGTGTCTCGGTGGATCACAGGTTGAACACGAGCCAGCAGTGTGGCGCAACTGCCAAAAAAACCAAATGCAGTCCTAAACTCTCTCAAAGTAATATAGCGTCAAGATCAAGGGAAGTCACTGCTCCTCTTTTACTTTTGTGTCAGTCAGTCTGTGCATAGACTATGGAGTCTATTTCTGGGCATCATGTTTTAGAAGGACACTGACCAACCAGAATGTGCCCAGAGGAGATGGTGGTGGTCTGGATGGAAAAACCTGTGAGAAACAGCATTAGTCTGTCTGGAGAGGACTGCAGGAAGACAGCACCACCTTCAAGTTCCCAGAGGGCTCTCAGGACTAGTCAGGGTAGGTAACGCTCAGGACTACTCCAAGGAGGACCAAACCCAATGGGTTTAAATTGCAATGAAGTAGATTTCAGCTGGACATCAGGAAGTTCCTTAACATAAAGTTGTTCAACCATGGAGGAAACTGCCTCAGGATATTGTGGAGTCTATATCAGAGATTGGATGGCCGTCCATTGGGGTGCTGTAAGTAGCAGATTCCAGCACGGGGCGGGATGGAGGGGGACAAAATCATCCCCAGGATTCCTTCCAACTCTTACCTTTCATGATGTAAGAAGAATTTGTTCAAAGCAACAAAAGCTGCTTATTGCTAGGAAGGGAGCAGATATCTGAAGATGTATTTACAGCTTCCGATGTTACCCTCTGCCCCCAATATTCCCCATAGGGCTTCCTGACTTGGAGGAGCCTTTGATGCCCAACTTTAGCATCAGCAAGATTTTGCAGGTAGCAGACAATTTGACTGTGTCCCTTCCAGAAATCCTGGCTTTGAAAAGTGGGAGCTCGGGAGGGTTCAATAATTTCTTCAAAGGCCTTAAGTCAAAGATGATTTGGCAGGAAAGAATCCAAAGGGGAGAACCTTTCTCCCTTGTCATATTTTGACCAGGATCCTCTTCTGCTTTTATGGCCTTTAAAGTTTACAAGCTTTAGAAGGGAGTGCAAGGGGTGAATGAGAAAAGTAGTCAGGCTTCCATCAATTCAAGACACTCCAGCAGCTGAAGGAAGCAAGAGGTGAGGGGACAGCCTCATGCAGGTGTATTCTGGCAGGCAGTGGAGGAGGGAGGGTTGGGACAGCGAAGGGCAATGGAGCAACGGTCATGGTCGAAGACACAAGGTGAAAAAGATCAGAGATAAGATGGATGCAGGTGCAAGGCCACGGTGAGCTTGAAAGGTAAAAACAAAGAAGCCCAGCTTTGTCTGATCTTGTAATGTGTACTATTTTCATATTGGGAATGTCGGGCAAAAGCCAATTATCTCTACAAAGCCACATCATTCCATTGCCAAAGAAAATGGGATAACCTGAAAGTTTTGAATTATTATCAGAACAATTGAAATAAAAACAGGCTCTAAGAATGTGAGCATGGATGAACTGAAAGACAACCATCACCTGCTAGAACTTTAGGCCAAGGAGAAAACCATCATAAAACATGTTCTTTCACCACTGGACAGGCAAGCATGTTAACAAGCTAAGCATCTCAGAGCTCCTGAAATGAATGGAATCCTGTTCTTGCAGACAGAAAGGACCCATTGTCCTCTCAACTGATACTGCTCCCTTCCCCAGAACTGGTTTTCACAGGTAATTTTCAACAGGGCCTGTCCTGAGCAAGGCCAGTGGCTACTCTTGCGTGGACAGCGTTCTTCAGCTGGGCAGAGGAAATGGCTTCCACTCATCTCTCTTCAGCAAAGGCAAAAGAGAAGCAGCGGGGGCTTGATGCCTCCTTGGGCACCTGATCAGCCCCAAGGCTGTCTTTTGGGGGCCCTCGAGCGGAGGCAAGGCAGCCCCTTGTCTGGGACACTCCCATTTGGATTCTGGGCTGAGCAGGGGCTGGGCTGGGGGTCCCTGACAGCCCCTTTCCCCTTCCATCTAGGATGCCAAGGCAGCACAGAATGGTCTTGCCATCTGCCTTCTTGGCAAAGCATCACTCACTCCGGGCAACCTGTAACTGCCAGCTCAGGAAGCAAGCTGCTGAGCCCAGGGGGGGCTCTGCCAAAAGCCACCGCCCTTCCTCCTTCTCCCTGGAACACAGCACAGACACAGCAGCTCTCACCCCGTAATGCAAAGGGGAAATGCCCCCTCCCTGGCAGGTGAAGTTTGGAGGTGTATGAAATGAGGTGGAGCACAGCAAGAGGAGGAGAGGGAGGGCCATTTCAGGGGGCCTGCTTGCTCTCCTGATCCCTGCCTTGCAACGTCACATCAGGCCAGGCCACACCCTGAGCCTCTTATCCTGCCTCTCAAAGGTTTACAAGCCTGGCCTGGCCTTGACGCCTGATAAGGCCACAAGCCCGGGCAAGAGTCCACCAGCCACCATCGCAGCCCACTGGTTGGCCGTGTGCCCGGTGGTCAGCTGCTTCAGCCCACTTAGAGGAATATGCCCTTTTCTGGCAGCAGGCCCTGGCCAGCCATTTCACACACAGTTATCTCGCAACAGGTCATAAACGCAACCCAATGCATGTAGACTTTATTTAGAGAGAGATTTTATACACCTTTGCTCCATGAACTGTACTGGCCCCCAGGGTGCTTCCGGGCAAAATTCAAGGTGCTGCTTATCGCCTGAAGAGCCCTTCGCAGCATGAAGCATGCGGGACTGCCCTTCCCCCACTGCGTCTACCTGTTCCACTCAGTTCCTCATGCACGAGAGCATTTAATGCAGTAAAAGTCAGAAATTAACACAACAAGCTATGTCCTCAAATGGTTTGTTTTGACTTGGCAGGCTGTATGAACCCAGCCAACTGTAGTTTATTTAACAAGCCATGGTTAAGTAAGGGGCAGTTTGGCAAGATGAGCCAAGGGACTCTTAAAAACACTGAAAACAGAACAGAGGAGTTTTATTGCACGTCTGACGCCTCCGAAATGAAAACCGCTGAGGAAACTGCACTGTCAGGACTTCAGTGGTTTCCACCTTTTCAGAAACGGTCATATTCTGTCAAGAATCAGAATGGGGGACAGAGGAACCGTGATCAGACACCCTCCTGGTCTCTCTAGAAATATCACTCATTCTGCAGCTGGTAGGAACCAAGTGCTCCGGTCGCTCATGTGAGCTTGGCCGAGGTCCGCAATTTCTTCTTGGTGTTCTTGAAGCTGCGTAACGGGTTCTGCTGGCCCTGGAAAGAGGGTTGTTGGGATCAGTCCCCCTCAGCCTTACCTGGCCATAGTCCTAATAGAGGAGCACCGCTCCCAGAGCTACAGCCCAAGCACTGAGCTGCCAGGCTAAGCATCTGGAAGTGCTATACAGGTCGGCCTCACTTAACAACCATTTATTCAGCGGCTGTTCGAAATTACAATGCACTGAATGGACTTACAACCTGTGCCTGAAATTATGACCATTGCAGTGTCCCTGCAGTCACATGATCAAAATTCGGGCACTTGGCAGCCCATCCACACTTACAACTGCAGGGGTGCTTCAACTCCCCCCACCCACCTATCTCCCCCCAACTCTGTCCTTTTGGCCCCCTGCTGCCCTGAGCTCCATTGCCCCAGCTGACCTTCACTGCTATCTTCTTGCTCCCGCTGCTGACGAGGCGTGCCTGGCCTAGCTGCTGGGCTCTATGGGGCTGGCTTTGCGCTGCGAAGCAGGGAAGAAAAAGGCCACTTTCGGCTCTTTTCCCCTTCTTCGCAGCACAAAGACCTCTTTGGAGCTTCTGGGCAGGGGTGGGGCTTGTCTTCCGTCGGGGAGAAAGGGGGAAAAGGGCGACGAGACGCTTTTTTTTCCCCTTTCTCGCAGCACAAAGACCTCT